CCTAAACTTGGCATTACTTTTTATTTACATGTAACGTACTTTTATGGGATTTGTTGATACTCTTATAAAACGTGGTGAAGGCAAAAAGGTGCGAATCAAAACATATGAAAACGATCGTTCAATTGAAACGGTGGCGAGTGAGTCAATAGAGTGAGCCACTATGGCGCTATGTAATCTCCAATGACATTCGCGAAACTATACATACTGGAGCAGGATCATTTTTAAACAATAGGTGAGTCTTATTTAAATTGGTTTATTCACGAGAAATGAATAAGTGAACATTATTTGGAATTGTTCTGTTCATTATTTAACTGAGTTTTGACAGAAAGGCTTCTCATTAAACGTTTAGACTATCGCGGTGCATAGGCGCTTGATCATGATCGCGCTCAGCTGCAAGGCTCGAAGCCATCACTCACTTCAGTTTTTTCTTAATAATTCAAAAACGAAGCTTCGTACCGCATTTTTGCAAAGGGAAATGTTGTTCAGAATCACTTGCCCTATCACTTACTACCAGGAGTTACATTAATTATGAGACACTGTATAGTGGATCGCTGTACTGAGCGATGGTGTCCGCGAAAGTTACTATAGTGGCTATGAGATTAATTTAACTTCACACATACAATAAGCCTTAAACAATAAATTACTGCCCCAATAAATTAATGTACAGTCAATCGTCATAGTGCCAGATGGTGACCGTGAAAGCCACTATAGTGGCCCTAAAAGGTTAACAATTCTTATACAAGAAATGATCAATATCTCGTTTGAAAACATTAAAAGATCAATTATAAACCCTCTAATAAATTTACAACAACACAGTAAATTTATTTAAAATTAATAACACAAAATATCTCAATTTCCGCCCAAACGTTCAGTTCCGATCAGGAGACATTTAAGTAGAATTGGCCGAGAGACACAGCCGTTCACAATTTCCAATATTGGAGCAATATAGGAATTCAAAGATGCATTAACTGTCGGGCAGGTTCGCGAGAAATGGTTTAGCTTTCGCGTTAAATGGATCCAGAGCGCGGAAAAGCGGGATTCGCACATGCCAATTGTTTGCTGCGATTCACACGTAAGTTTGCTAGGAAGCAACGTGTGACCGCGTGCTAGCTCTCTGAATAATGAAAGCGGTTTCGAATTCAAGCATACCCATCGATTTCCCTTGTCTGGCCTGTTCGTCGCGATTGTTTCGTGGTTTAAACTGAAACTCGCAGACCTTCTTCCCGCGGTGTACCTTCGGTGTTACCACTTTTATGAGATCTGTTTTATTCATTAACGTGCTATCGCAAATATTCCTTTTCATATTTTAGTAACTATATTCGAACACCCGATCTTTATGAAATATTAACTGAGTTATTTCTGAAAAAAACCATCTTAAATTTCATTAATCATTTATATTTTGTTGACCCACAAATGTCAAGATCTCACTTAACAAGTAATCTTAGCATGTTAAGATTTCTTGACTGACATGAAGTCTAATCTAGGCAAAATTGAACTCTTGACTGGTCTGATGTAGACTAAATTTAACCCTTGCTAATATCAAGTCTAATCTAGGTAAAATTTAACCCTTGGCTAACATCAAATTTAACCTAGTCAAAATTTAACCTTCACATCATGTTTCGTACACGGGATTTTTGGGAGACTATGTGGGATTATGGGCATACTATGGTCTTTAGCAGCCCTAGAATAGTGGTTGAAAATTAAAATTGTGGATTAAAATAATTCTCCCTATCCACATCTACCTAGCCCAGATTTAAGGTGAATCTCTCTTGCGTTCACAATGTAGAAGTTCACATTGTAGAAGTTCACAAGACTGACACCGTCATCGCTCACACAACTTGCCTCAATTTATTGTGCAGCTCTCCCCATGCTTTTCTCACAAGTTCATCGGATAAAAGGAAAGTCCAATTTCCTTTGTACTTATTTAAAGTACGATAGTTGCGTGTCTTAGAAGCTAACGTTTCTCGTTACGTACCGATGAAATTTCCGATGTCGATAAAAGCGAAACAAGTAAACAATTACGGGGCCCTTAAATACACTCGAACGAACGTGTTCTTTTTTCTGTTGAACGTTAGGTAAGACAGAAGTCCTTTCAACGGTAAGTAAAATGGAAACTGAAGACCATCGATGTTTTCTTTTTAACGCTAAACCGATACGGTTCTAACGCCCAAGAAGGTTTCCCATCGCTTTTCTATTACCTTCTGTAAAAATTCGCTGCTCGGGTTTTCCAGTTATTCCTCCCTGTTCTTATTCGACCCTCGCTGAAAAGAAATCTCTCCGAACGGAGCTATCAACGTAATAGCAGCTAAAAGCAAACAGCCGTCGCTACAATTGTTCAAGAACAGAAGTTCATAAACTCCTATTTACTTATGTCAGTCACTTCGGAATGTCCTGAATGGATAAAAAAAACAAAAGGCGAGATATTCGAGGAATTAAGGTAGTATTTTCTCGTTTCAACCATAAATCTTCTTTTCGCGTTTAATATGATAAAAACTTGGATTCGAGTTATTCAACCGAAATCGGTGACATTTAGGGATTTGAGAGTTTGATAATTTCGTTGACGAGGTGCCAGCGAATTCGAGTGTGTTTGATATTTAGAGCATCTGTAAATGTATGTATCTGACCATCGAATTAGGAGCAATTTTTAACATTTTTACGTGGTCCTGCAAGTAAAACAAGATATGATTTTATACTCGTTCCAAACGAGGAAACGTGTCTGAAACTATAAAGAACGATACTAAGCACGATTATTGTTGATTTCATGACTGATGTGAATGACCAAGTGTGATCATCAACGATGAGTATATATAGAGCTTCCGACGTGCCTGCAATCGATTCTGTGTACATATAAAAAATTATAGAAAACGTTAACAAAACGATGTTTGATCAATTTGATGACGATCCACGTCGATGACAAATGATTCCTATCCTCAGATTGCCGCCAAAATCTATGCACTAAATTTAGGATGTTTCGTGAATTAAAAATTCATGTCACCTTCAAAATTTCAAGACTACAAAATTTTAGCCTACATGGTACAAACAAATACACAAACGATCAAATGTAGATCGAGTCCCAGGAGGCACTACGTTCGACAATAAAATTGATATGCACGTAACGAACGTAGAGTACATCTCACATAACGAACATAGGGTGATGTAACGAACATAGAATGCGTCTGATGTAACATATGTATGATATCGTACGTCTGATGTAATATGAAGTGACGTAATGAAACAGCTGTATGGATTAATAATTCTTAATTATTTTGAAGAAAATTTAAAGTTGGGAAAAAATGCTTTATGCAAAGTACCGTCGCCAGCATTTTACCATCCCATCAAATTGACCCTCCCCAAAAAATTGTTGACATTTTGAAACCAGTCATCCACCATTTTTCGATATCTTGTTGAAGTGTTAAAGTGCAATCAATTAAGAAATATCCGTACACATAAATCTGACACAACACTCATAAAGTAGTCCACCGTAACGAAACATATAAATGTAACGGATATTAGAGACATAAGTGCAACACCTTGAGTATCCGAGAATGAAACATGTTCACCGGTTGTTCGTCGTTACCGTGAATGTTGGCGTTCTGACAGGATTACAGCAGGGCATATTAACGGCGAAACAGAACGTTAAATCCGTAATTCCGCGGAAGATTCTGTACACAGTGCTACACGTCACAACGTTAGCCCATACATCTCGCAGCACCAAACAGCAACGATTTACGTTTATTTGCTCCCACTTTATATAGAACTCGTCTGGCTTAGTAACGGGCATCGCTTATCACTCGAACAACGTGTTACGGTTCATAATGCTACTTCTCGTCGATCTGATAAATCTGTGCCGGGATAATAATTTATTCATTAGACACCAGTCACGAACCGGGGCGACATGCTTCTGACCACCACCCCTTTTCTTATATTGAATTTCCATCAACGAGCTTGGAAACGCGCGACCATAATCTTCTTATCAATGCTTCGTTTCCGAGGAAATTCTGTTTAAGAGTCATTAAATTCTTCGGTATCAAACGGTTCATGTAATTGAATAGTCTATACAATGTATTCGTACATTGGTGTTGATGTATTTGAATAATGTATACATTTTTTTCAACTTTTTTAATACATATTTTTTTAACTTTTTTAATACACTTTTTTTTAACTTTTTTAATACATATTTTGATAACATTGATTCTTTTCCTCTTTTGACAATTATATTCACTAATTACTGAATTAATGAGATTAACATTTACTGATGAATTAACGAGATTAATGGTTAATTGCTGAATTAACGAGATTAATGGTTAATTGCTGAATTAATAAGATTGACATTTATTAATTTCTCATCGAACGAGGTTAACGTTTATTAATTGATGAAGGAACGTAACATTATTGCTGAAATTAACAATTAACATTATGACCGCTCTGAGCAAATATTTTATTTAAATGCAATTTAGGAGGATGTTGTTCTACGTTTCCAATTTATTTTCTCATTAATTCACATGCTGTGTTTCATTGCCTATTTATGTGACATTACGTAATTATGTTGTATACGCGTGCATATATATTTAATAATAAATGGAATCTGTCCTTTTGACGGAATCTTAAATTCTTCAAAGTTATGTGAATTATTGAGAATTTAGGGCAAAGAAAATTATTGAGAATTTACAAATTATTAAGAAGTCATGGTGAAGTAAATTATTCAGAATTTACAAATTATTAAAAATTTTTCAAACCAAAATAAATTATTAAGAATTTCTCAAGACAAAGAAAATTATTAAAATTCACAGATTATTACGAATTTGTGAAGACAAAGGAAATTATTAATAATTGTCGAAACAAATTGTGTGCATTTTACTTTACTTTCAGTCTAAAAATAATTAATTATAAAAAGGCAGTAAATTTAATATTAATAACAATTTATCATATAAGATATATCTTCAAACATTCTGTACTTCGAAATTCGTCATTTGATATGCAACCTAACCTACAAAAGTTAAATGTCAGCGTTCTACGCGGATCTTCAAGGAACAGATAGGATTCCGAAAAAGAAGTATAAGAATGTCTCATCTAAGATTCAGGAACCGGTGAACATTAAGCGTGTCACAGACTTACCACAGGTTAAACAATTCCGTCGTACGTTTCAAGAAGGATTTTATCGTCTACGTTAAGAGAGAAAAATTCCAGGGCAAGTTTCAAGAAAGATTTCTATAGTTGTTTACGTCTGATATTTCAACGGCTTTACTCGTCATTTCGTATTGCTGAGAAATTTTCTCAATTTTTACATTGAAAATGGGACAGTTTATTATTTTTACCGGAAAAATTATTTTTTACAGAGATTAAAGACATTTGATAATTTTAACAATCTTGATAATTTTATTCAAATTTTAAATAATTTTTATGTTATTTAAATAATATTAAAACTGATTTAAAATAATATTGCAACTGATTTAAAATAATATTAAAATTCTGATTCTAGAATAGTGACATTTATCTGAAAATATTTTTAATTCAACCCATTTTAAGATATTTCAAAATAACATTGAGATCACTCGTTTGAAAATAGTAATCAGATCACTCGTCCGAAATTAACATCGAAAACGTCGATTTAAAAATAATATTAAAATAACTGATTTCAAATTTACACTGAAATAATATCTAAATGACTTCAAAATAATGTTCAAATGATTGATTTTAAAATAAAATTTAAGTCAAAAGTTGTAGTGTATTAAACTTCTATTAAAAAATTCATATGTTCTTTATATTTATATGTTTTATATGTTCTACGTGTAAAATTTGTTATTATTCTTAATAGTAAATATTTCGTTCCAATATGTTTTTTTATTGTAATAATTACTTACATTATTAATTATCAAATATAAATTTTGTAGCACAAGCTGAAATGTATTAAATATACTCTTCTTTAAAAATAATGTTCCATATGATTTATGTATATAATTTTTCATCATTTTTAGTGGTAAATATTTTATACTACCACATTTAATGTTTACTGTAATTACTGTAAAAATTGCAAAGTAAGAGGTATTTGTCATATAGCAGCAAAGTGACACAAATATGAATGCATTCCAGCGTAAAATCCCTAAGATGACCCTATTCATCAGTTCAGACCACTTCGCCCAAGAAAAGCAGAAAAATATTGATCTCGAAAAGTCTTGAAGGAAGCAAGGACGCGATGTTTCGTCCATTAAACGTAGAAACGGTGCTCGAAAGAAGAAATAGAGAGATCAACAGGAGAGTCGAAGCTCACACGCAAAATTCATACATTTTGTGCTAGTAGTACCGTTGTAGTCGACCACTTTTCCGCTGTACCGCTTTTCCCCCCGCTTTCCGCCCTCTTTTCCCTCTTTCTCGCTCCTCTCGATCAATAAGGGCTTCAGTTTACCGGGACACTTTTATCCAGCAGCTGCATGCACGACGTGAAGTCGTAAATAATAGTACCTCCGAACGAGAAAAAGGAAAAAAAACGAAAAGGATTACCTCGCTATACCACACGAAGGGAATTGATAATTAAAACGAGCGACACTTCCATTACTCGGCGTCGGTAACGGCGTTAAGAGGATACCAGCTAGATGGTATTTAACAGTACCGCTACGTTTATCGCCGAAATTTTTGCCACCTCATCACTGGGAATTATGAGTCCTGATTTTTGACCGTGTGTCATTATTATGGGACATCGAATCAGGACCAATTTTCACGGTGAAATTCCTTTTTCATTATAAAACGAACAGTGGTAATTAATAGTAGCAAAAAACCTCAAAAGATTAAATAAAACTTTTCAAAACCTTTTCAAAGGTCTAACTTACCGTTTGCCAGCAGCAAAAATTATAGAATTTAAAATATGAAGCTGTTAAATTTTCAAACGTTGCCATTTCAGAGCTTGTTATATAAAGAATTAGGTCCAGCGACTATGGTACACAAAATGGCGGCATGAAACAACATGGATGACTATATTACGTTACGTCGCAGCCATGTTTATGTTCACATGTTTTCCGTAAAATTAAAAGGCCTGTTCAAATTGTAATTATATAATTTATTAGCTACCATGATACTACTGTACATAACATTAACACATGTTAATATCTTGTATTTCCTTTGCTTTGGTCACAACTTGTGGCATGCTGCGTATACATTGATCATATGCTTTATATCTTCATTATTTTCCCAAATATAATTTTTTTCAACTCAATGTGGTTGGAAAGTTGTAAGCTAGTCTTTTAGGCTCCAGACATTTTCTATGACATTCACCAAATTTCACCTGACGCCCTATCGATACTCGAGCCTAATGTAAACGCATGGTCCTTAATCACTCATCACGCAATTAACGCGATAGTAACAAATTACCATGTACATATCGTTATCAACGTATTTAGTAATAATTTTGACCTAAGACAATTTTTCGTATATGACATAATGTTATTGCTATAAATGTGAAATTTTCGTATGTGATCCTAATTCGATCCAGAGATGTCCATTCGAGTCACGACGCAACCACTCCTTTTTAACCCCCGAATGATAATAATTTTACTTTAATTATAATCCCGTAACTCTCATTATCGAAGCTTTAAATAACGCTCGTGTACACTTGTTTTTCGATGCGGTGGAGTGCTTTGGGAGATAATTTGACCTTGCTGCTTTAGTAGACGTGGCATTCGGCGGTTCTGAAATTTAGGGATTTGGGAGTTGGGAATTTGGGAATGAGGATTTGAAGCGGGAGAAATTTAAAAATTGCTGGTCTGAGGATTTGGATATTTTGGAGATTTGTTAGTTTGAAATTGTGCGTTTGAGAATTTAGAAATTTGGAGATTTGGAAAAATGGAAAATTGGAAATTTGGAAGTTCGGAAATTTGGAAAATTGGGAAATTGTGAAGTTAGGAGTTTTGAAAGTTCCAAAGTAAGGAATTTTGAAATTTGTAAATCTGGGAATTTAGAAATTTTGAAGGTTGCAAATTTAGGAATTTTGAAATTTGTAAATTTGTAAATTTGGGAATTTAGGAATCTTGAAAGTTGAAATTTCAGGAATTTGTAAATTTGAAAATTTAAACACGAGTGAAACAGAAACTAATTTCTGATTCATAATTTCTTCGTAAAAAATTCGATAATTTAAAACTTTATTAAAATGTTCGCTGCACAAAATTATTACAGTGGAGCACAGAAACCATTTATAATTTTCATCACTTTGTTCCTCCTTCTAACTCTTCCATGCATTACAAGACATTCAATTATGTTATTATAAGACCTTACAGAGTATCCATGATCGACACATTTTTCAGTCTCACAAAAAAGAATAATTTCTCATCGAAAAAGTGGAAAAGTTAAATTGCTTCGAGCAATTTCATCGTACTTTCATTAATACAAGGTAAAAGTTTATTAAGCATGTTTTAAAGTTTCGTGTATATTCTGATAAAGGTAAACAGCAAACGCGTCTACTTTCTTCGGAAGTTACGGAAAGGATTCACCTGGAGCAAAAATTTAAGTTCAACATTCATGTTTCGTGCATTGAAAATAAAGTATATGCATTATATATGTATAATGCTGCAAAATATATTGTACCTAAATATTATAAAATATAGTATACATTTTATTGCAACAAGAAATTATATTGTTTCAATAAACAAGAATGTAATAATGATAATGGTAATAATGTAATAAAAATAACAAAAAAGATAACAATGACAACAATGACAACAATGACAACAATGACAACAATGACAACAATAACAACAAAAACAACAATGGCAATAATAACAATGACAATATTGACAACAAGGCAACAATGGCAATAATGATAATAATAACAACAATGACGACAAGAAAAACAAGGACAACAAAAACAACACTGACAATAATAACAACAAGGGCAGCAATGACAACAATGACAATAAGGGTACCAAGGATAACAAGGACAACAGTGGCAACAATAACGACAATAAGAACAATGCAAACCATACAAACAATAAAAGCAATAAAAACAATAACAACGGTAATAATAGTAACAACCACAAAAACAGCAGCAGCAATAACAACAGTAACAGCAACAGAAAAAATAACAGCAGTAACAACAAAAGCATCGATAACAGCAATAACAGCAATAACAACAAGAACAGCAAAAACAGCAATAACAGCAATAACAGCAATAACAGCAATAGTAGCAATAGCAGCAATAACAACAATAACAGCAATAAGAGCAATGACAGCAGTAACAGCCATAATAGTAATATCAGTAGTACCAACAATAAAAGCAATGCCAACAATAGCAATAACGACTAAAATAGCATTAATTATCAAGAATGGTAACAATAGGAACAGGAGCAACAATAACAATAATGATATTAACAACAACAATGAGAGTAGCCATGAAAAGAAAGCAATGGAAACAGCAATAGCAATAGCAATAGCAATAACAATAACAATAACAATAGCAATAGCAATAGCAATAGCAATAGCAATAGCAATAGCAATAGCAATAGCAATAGCAATAGCAATAGCAATAGCAATAGCAATAGCAATAGCAATAGCAATAGCAATAGCAATAGCAATAGCAATAGCAATAGCAATAGCAATAGCAATAGCAATAGCAATAGCAATAGCAATAGCAATAGCAATAGCAATAGCAATAGCAATAGCAATAGCAATAGCAATAGCAATAGCAATAGCAATAGCAATAGCAATAGCAATAGCAATAGCAATAGCAATAGCAATAGCAATAGCAATAGCAATAGCAATAGCAATAGCAATAGCAATAGCAATAGCAATAGCAATAGCAATAGCAATAGCAATAGCAATAGCAATAGCAATAGCAATAGCAATAGCAACAGCAATAACAATAGCAATACCAATAACACCAGCAATAACAATAACAATAGCAATACCAATAACACCAGCAATTGCACTAGCAATAAGAATAGTACCAGCAATAGCAATAGCAATAACAATGACACCCTAATGATAACAATATTAATAGCAACAGCAATAATAGTAAAAATACTGATGATAATGTTGATAACAATAATAATCACTAAAATAATAAATATAATGAATGTAATAATTCAACTCCTATTATACGTATCCGTCTAGAGACCTATTTTAATAAATAATCAGACCAGTAACTTATAACTTATGTACGTTCGGATAAATTGTTATCGAGATTCAATAGAGCGCAGACAAACGAAAAGAAAAGCATTGTTAGCCATAGCGCTTCTTATTGTTATCGGATATCGAGCACAGAATGCAATTTTGCCGGACGAAATGGAAATTGCTACATAAATTCTAACATAATAATTGAATGTCATGACAAGGACGAGTATCCGTGCCATTAGTGCAGAACATGGATTCTCGACTATTTATCCGCGTTATAGCCAATTGCGTGCGACCATCACCACTTTACGTTATTGTATTCGCAACACGACCAGCATTGATTTCGTAATTAATCAGGACATATGCCTGATGAAACCATTTTATACGGTGAAAAGGTCCGGCTAATTAGGCGACCGATTGATTAAATTAATCACGTGATCACTATAATTCCCCGGTAATGCCGTTATATCGGTTCGATGTGTATAAGTGATTTCAAGGCGACGTTGTTTAGGAATTCATTGAACTTAGGAGAGTTTTGTGAAGATCGGTGTAGATCGATGGATGTTTAGTATATCTAAGGAAGGGGGGTTTGGTGCACTAGTGAGTTAGTGATGGAACGGACTAGTGGTTGGGACTGGGGATATAGTGATATAGTGGAATGAATATTTAATGATCGACTGATGTAATGATTTAGTGATACAGCAATGTAATAATACATGGATCTAGCAATGTAGTGGACTAGTAGACTAGCGGACTAGCGAATTAGTAATCTAGTGATATAGTGAATTAGTGATACAGTGAATTAGTGATAAGGTGAATTAGTGATAAGGTGAATCAGTGATACGGTGAATTGGTGATACAGTGAATTAGTGATAAGATGAATCAGTGATACGGTGAATTGGCGATACAGTGAATTAGTGATAAGGTAAATTAGTGATAAGGTGAATTAGTGACGAGGTGAATTAGTGATGAGGTGAATTAGTGATGAGGTGAATTAGTGATACAGTGAATTAGTGATATCGTGAATTAGTGATACAGTGAATTAGTGATACCGTGAATTAGTGATACAGTGAATTAGTGATATCGTGGACTAGTGATACAGTGAATTAGTGATATAGTGACTCAGCAATATAGTGAATCAGTGATATAGTGAATCAGTGATATAGTGAATCAGTGATATAGTTAATCAGTGATATAGTGAATCAGTGCCACGGTGAATCAGTGATGTAGTGAATCAGCGATATATGTAGTGAATCAGTGGTATGGTGATTTTCTGATCTAGTGACTTAGTGATCTAGGGATTTGATAATTTGTCGATTAGTGAATTAGTGATACAGTAAATCAGTGATATGATGACTTTGTCATTTAGTGTTTTAGTGATCTAGTGATTTGATAATTTGTCGATTTATTGATTTAGTCCTTTTAGAAATTACTAATCCTATAATTCTGCGACTCTAATCCAGCAATTTGATAATTCATTAATAAAATATAATTGCAGTCTGATAACTTAGCAATCTAAATTTTCTAATTTCATGTCCTAAATTTCTACAAGTGAAAATTCCTAACTTCCTCCAAATTCTGAAATCCAAATGAAACGTTGTCGTAACATAAAATGTTGTTCAGTGAGTAATTTGTCCGAAAAACAATGGCCAAAGCAATTAGTCAACTGCGTTAAAGTGAAAGATTGATACAAGGCAGTATTTAATTAGAATTATTGCCTGGTTAATGCTCGCCTCTGCCCGCTGTACACATGTAGATATTACTGCCACCTGTAGTTGGTTGCAACGGCAAATTAACTTCCAAGGAATTAGTTCTAATTGGAGGGAATGAGCTGGTAACTCTAATTCTGCCTTGCAACCATAGTATTATTCACAAGTTCGGTATATAAACTACCAATTAATTGGAATTATTCATTACTTGCGGCGGAACGGTCGTACAATAGGGAGATTAAATTGATGAGTGTATCAAAGGGTTCGTATATATAAAGTTTACTATCTATCATTTTCGTGATATCTTTTACTTCGCTGCGTGCAGTGGGTTGTAAAACTTTGAACAAGTTCAATTCGCGAAAACTTCCCTTCCAAGTTTTATAACCTTGACGATGTATGGGAAATTTGGAACTTTTGTATTTCGTTAGGTCATGTTTTGGAGCTTCATTCTCTTTCTATGATTTTGAAATTTATTATGTTTTTATATTACCAAATTTTTAAGTTAGCGAAACGAAAAGTTTTGACATAATACGGAAAATTAATTTTACTGGATTTTGTATTGTAGTGAATTAGTGATATAGTGAACTAGTAAATTCACTAGACCACTAATTAACTATATCACTAATTCACTGTACCACTAATTTACTGTATCACTAATTCACTGTATCACTAATTCACTGTGTCACTAATTCACTATATCACTAATTCACTATATCACTAATTCACTGTATCACTAATTCACTGTATCACTAATTCACTGTATCGCTAATTCACTGTATCAGTAATTCACTATATCACTAATTCACTGTATCACTAATTCACTGTATCACTAATTCACTGTATCACTAATTCACTATATCAGTAAGTCACTAAATCACTAAGTTACTAGATCACTGAGTAACTAGGTGCCTATGTCACTATCGCTAAGTCACTAGGTTGCTAACTCACTAGATCGCTAATTTACTATTGTAGATTGCCAAGTCGCTAGATTCACTAAGTCCCCAGATAACAAAATCCTAGGTCAGTGGGTAGCTAAATCAGTAAATCACAACCAATAAACCACTAAATCAATAGATTACTGATTTACTTCACTGAATTATTAAATTACTAAATCATTAAATCATATTATTTAATTATTGAACTATAAAATCATTAAATCATATTATTTAATTATTGAACTATAAAATCATTAAAGCATATTATTTAATTATTGAACTATAAAATCATTAAATCATATTATTTAATTATTGAACTATAAAATCATTAAATCATATTATTTAATTATTGAACTATAAAATCATTAAAGCATATTATTTAATTATTGAACTATAAAATCACTAAATCATATTATTTAATTATTGAACTATAAAATCATTAAAGCACATTATTTAATTATTGAACTATAAAATCATTAAATCATCTTATTTAGTTATTGAACTATAAAATCATTAAATCATAAATTACTAAATTACCGCTGTACTAATTACTAAAACCCTTAAATTAATAATTTTAATATTATTAAACCACGAAGGTACAAAATTAATAAATCCTCATTCACGAAACTGCAATACTACCAAATTAAGTTCGACGTTCCCGTAACAAAGTTCTTAATTCGCAATTGAAAGAGTTCACGAATTTAAAACTATATATTGAAAATTTCGAAACTTCCAAATGTTCGAATTACCGAGTTACCAAGTGTCTAGATTCTCATAAATCGGGAATCTGAAGTTGCGAAATAAACGATGCGTACACCTCCGTATCCCGTTGAACTTGAGAGCCCGGAATCTGTGAAATATCGCGGAACGAGAATATTGTGCATTATGAAACAGCAATTGGAATGGATTCGGCGAACGAGCTAATTTAGCTATCAGGATGGTATCTGCAGCGGTTCTGGCCACTGCAAACGTTTTGAAACTCAAACTGATAGTCAAACCACGTCCCAAGAATAAAAATAACGCGCGTCGAGGTTGGAGGAAAAAGTTGGCGCCAGTTTTGTCCATTAAGTCCTCTTCAATACACTCGAAGGATTGTTCGTACGGTATACCTGTGACCCACTCTACAAAGTCGTCCGGAACTTTCAACGATTCTCCACTTATCTGATGTATGCGCTGCGTTCAAAGGTGTTTTGTATATAATAATTATCTGGTCTAAGGAACGGGTGCATTGTGCGCGGCCGAGATGCACCGCGAAGACAAACGGGGTCTTAAATTTAACACGGATAACTAATCAGCTTATTAAGATCAACTTCTCGACTATCCTTCCTAGCGGGTTTATAGTACTACTTCGCTTTATTGCGCAAATACTAATGAGCATGGTAGAAATATATATGGGGTTTAATTACTTCTTTATGTCAAGCTGGTACTTCACACATAGAGTCTAACGATGGTTTTAAGATAATGCAAAATTTGTCATATTTTACAATTCTACAATTCGTCTGTTACAATTCAACAATTCTGCAAAGCCGTAGTTTTGCAATTCCACGATCCCAAAATTTTGCAACTCTAAAATTCCCCAATTTCATAACCCCACAATTATTACAATTCCACAACTTCGCAACCCCGCAACTCCACAATTCCGCAATTTCGGAACTCCACAATTCCGCGATTCCATAAGTCCGCAATTTCAAGATTCTACCATTCCACAATTCAACTATTTTGCGATTCCACAATTCCACGATTCCGCAATTCCACGATTGCATGATTCCGCAATTTTACAATTCCACAATCCCATGATTCCGCTTTTTCGCGAATCCGCAATTACGCAATTCCACAACTTCTCAATCCCGCAACTCCGTAAATCCACGATCCCGCAGTTTCGCAATTTCTGAACTCCACAAATCCGCAATTCCACAACTTCTCCACTCCGCAATTTCTGAACTTCCCAATTCCGCAGCTCCACAATTCCGCAACCTCTGAACTCTGCAAATTCCACAATTCCACAATTTCACGATTCTACAATTCCAAGGTTCTGCTATTTCGCGATTCCACAAGTACGCAATGCCACAACTCCGCAATTTCACAACTCCGCAAATCCAGAAATCCGCAATTCCACAATTCTATACTATAATTTCGCAATTCTACAATTGCACAAATCCACAATCCTGCAACTCCGCAACGCCGCAATTCCACAGTTTCAGAAGTCTGCAATTCCCCAACTTCTG